ATATTGAAGGCTGCAGTCCTTGACCCTCTGCAGCAAGCATTTCAGGTCCTCCTCAGTTTCAGCAAGCAGGGTTGTGTCATCTGCATAACACAGATTTCAGAACCATCTCAGGAAACAGATTTGAGGCCTTGAACACTAATGAGCAAAGACCTGATGAGTTGTGGGAGGATGTCAAATGTATCATCCAGAAAGAGTGCAGACGGTCATTACAAAGACAGAAGACGAAGACCAAAATTGATGTCAGAAGAAACTCTGAATATTGCACTGGAACGCAGAGAAGCCAGAACACAAGGAAGAATTCAAGATACTAAAGAGTTGAATAGAAGATTTCAAAAGGCAGCACGGGATGACAAAAGCAAAATATTACAATGAAATGTGCAAGGAGCTGGAGTCAGAAAATCAAAAGGGCTGAACTTGCTCAGCATTTCTTAAGTTCAAGGAACTGAAGAACAATTTCAAACCTCGAGTTGCTATAATCAAGGATGCTTTAGGTAGAGTATTAATGATCCAGGAAATATTAAAAGAAGATGGAAAGAATATAATGAGTCACCGTATCAAAAGGAACTGACAGACACATAAAAATTTGATGAAATCATATATGAGCAAGAGCCTATGGTGATGAAGGAAGAAGTTCAAGCTGCTTTGAAGGAAATAGCAAAAACCAAGGCCCCAGAAATAGATGGTATACCAATTGACATATTTCAGCTAACAAATGCTGCCCTGGATGTGCTCACCAAGTTGTGCCAAGAAATCTGGAAAATAACCACTTGGCCAACTGACTGGAAGAGATTGATATTTGTTCCCATCCCAAAGAAGGGTGACCCAATAGAGTGTGGAAACTAAAGAACAATCTCATTGATTTCACACGCAAGCAAGATTCTACTGAAGATTATCCAAAAACAACTGGAACAGCACATCAGCAGAGAACTACCAGAAGTCCAGGCTAGGCTGAGAAGGGGTCGTGGTACTAGGGATATTGTAGCTGATGTTAGATGGATCTTAGCTGAAAGCAGGGAATACCAGAAGAATCTGTGTTTCATTGACTATGCAAAGGCGTTTGATTGTGTGGAACATAACAAACTGGGCTGACTCTGAGAAGAATGGGAAACCCAGAACACTTGATCATGCTAATGTGAAACCTATACTTGGACCAAGAGGCAGTCATCAGAACAGAGCAAGGAAACACTGCATGGTTCAAAATTGGGAA